GTTGTTTCGCATTTGGAACACCATCGTCTGTTGTATGAACTAACATGGATCGGTCTAATAAAGATGATGTAACTAAATGTGTCCTCTGTATGATTTCTTGTTGGTTATTCCTACATACTTTGATAGAGCGTCGAGCGCTGTATAAAATGGAATATTTACATCCTCTTTCTCTTATTTTATAATAGTCAACAAGTTTCCTTCTATTGGCACATATCATCAAAAAAACACGTTTTTTTTTGTAATGTGTCTCTTATAAGTCAGCGATTGTATGAACCTGAAATCTGAAATTTTGTGCGAGTATATGACACTTAATGTGAAGTAACATTTAAAAAAATTGTCCAAACCTATGAACAGGAAGAAAATTTATCTCTTTACTCTCCATTGTCAATTGGAATTGCCATTTGTAGAATGATTGTAGAAAATAAAGAAAGTATGGGATTTGAAAACAAAAAGAACATTTTTTGTAGCGAGCTTTATGCGCTATCGATTAGTAAAAGGAATAAGTTTTTTCATCGCTCTAGCTGTGATATTTTGGGCCTACAAAATCGATGATTTTGTAAAAAAAGGAAAAAAATTGAATCCTTCAACATAAATCGTTCTTTACTTACAGTAAATAAAGATCCTTAGTAATTTCTATATGGTATAAATTGATGAAAGTGTTTACTAGTAAGTTAGATATGTTTCGAATGTATCGCGATAAATTGGCCAATTGCACACATTAACGCACATAATTCACCAAAGAGTCATTATGAGGCATCTGTAGGACAATTAGGAAAAATGATAATATATGTATTATAAACCTCAGCTCATGAGAAGTTAGAATACTATTTATTTGCAATTAAATTTCTTCAGAATTTATAAAATGGCTCAAAGCAAGGTAAATGCCCATTCAAGAAGTTGTACTAAAAACACATGCATTGTTTTGGCATTAATTTTTAACGGTTTATTCCCTCCATTTTCCCTTACTCCGATAAGATAGAATAGATGTTGCTTTTGGTCATTCAATAATGTGGTTAAAGAAAAAAAAATCAATGCTTAGTGTGTTGTTCCATCCCCTTACTTCATCACCCGGTTAACCGACCAATTTAATGGCCATACACAAAGAGACAGGTACTTATTAGATCAGACCACATAATTGTCATACGAAGCACGCTAATACTCTATTTGTACGGATATTTTCTCGGTGGCTCTTCTGGAACCGCCGTGAGCGGTAAAGGGTTATGAGCCGAATACAGCTAAAATCTCAATCGTACCGAAAAGTTGCAATTCATTCATATGAAATATGAACATGAGAGGAATTATCGAACGAATGGAAAATACAACAAGTAGCAATGCCCAAGGTTACAAATTTCAGTATATGAAAACGGTGATAAAAATATAATTATTATTATATAAAAAATTTATTTTTAATAAGAATTATTACACAAATATTGTATTTCATTTATAGAAAAAAAATATAAAAGATTAAAAATGCCGATAATTCGTTCATTTATTTGAAATATCTTGCTCTATAATGATTATTTTAAAGAAATTGTCAAATGAAACTTGAAAACAGCTTAATGAAAAAAAAACTGGGCTCATGTGAAGTTTAATCAAATCATCACTATTGAGCACAAGAATCAGAATATGAGCGAGGGCGAGAATGTACTTAAATTGCACATGCAACCTATTGCGAAAAAAACATAACTGTTCATCTATGAATTCATTGGATTATTCATTAACGCTATATTTTTTTTCGACGGGACCGTTCATTCATTTTATTCAATGATGCCAATGGATAGAACAAAAAGACAATGAACAAATATCTATATATGTTCTATACATGTTAAGCATAGCATTAGTCAAAATTAATATGAATCGGTCAAATGTTACTTTTCTTAATCTACCCAATGAAATATTATTAAAAATTTTAATCAAACTTGACAATATGGAAGTTCTCTATTCATTACTGGATGTTGATAATCAACGACTTGATATGATAGTACAAGACAAAACATTCACAAAGAGTCTGAATTTTGTATTAACACCGTCAACTAATGATATATTGTCAATTGCTGACCCCATACTTGATCGATTCTGTATAAATATCTTGCCAAGAATTGGTCTCAATATAAAGTCTCTTATTCTTGAATCAGGATCTATGGAACGTATTCTTCTTGCTGCAGATTATCCTAATCTAGCTGAACTTAAACTCTTCAATTTTAATAACAAAATCGCTTCGCATTATTTTACAGGTAAAAAACTCCTTATCTGAATATAGATTTCGATAGACACGTTGTATATTCTACATGGTATTATATTTTTTTTTTAAATAGTGAAATCATCAGTACATCATATTTTTCAAAAGCAAATAACAGATCTTATTCTCGTATACAAAGAAGATAATCGTATTTCATCAATGGAGAAATACACAGAAGGTGTTCATGAATATATTTTTAAGTTCTTCGAAAACCTGAAACATTTGTCTTTTACTGGATCATGTACACTCTTATCACTTGGTAATTTACCTTTGACAACCTGTTCTTCAACTCTACAAATTATGTGTTGGTGTAAATCGCTTTGAAGATTGTCTTGGCTTACTTGATGATCGTCTCAAGCAACTGACTTCATTTATTGTTAAAATTTGTGATGAGAACTATCAACTATTTACAATATGGTAAGTTTACATAATTAGGTAGATTAGTTTTTTTTTCAAATTGATAAATATTGATGATACCTTTAATTTGTTTTAATTTTATAATAGATTATTTTCATATGAATTACTATTCGTTTAAATTAATTATACGTTAAGTATTTATAAAATCTTGATGATTTATATGATGAGCGAATATAGGAATTTTTGTGTCTGATACTTTGACGCGTATAAGTTTATTTGAACAAGTAAATCGAATCATTGAATTTCATATTGATGAATAAAGTGTTTATTTGTTTATGAGGATTAAATATATTCATAGTAGAATTTTTCTTACTAACTCGAAAATGATTGTTTAAAGTAAAAGACTGAAAAAATTTATCTTCAGATATTTTCAACATATACGTACGCTCTAAATTGCTTTTTTCGGAACCAACACTTGAATGAAGTTCTACTCCAATTAGAGTCAAAAGATAGATCGAAAACAAGATGCTTTTTGAAACAAATCTAATATTTTTCCTTTGATCAAAAATAAAAACGTTCACATCTGAAAAGGTGCCTTCCTCAGTAAATGTCCTAGTATGCTTTTTTTGACTTTTTATGTATCGTAAGTTCTGCTACATCATGAGCTGAGTAATTGTCAGCAAAAGTAGAGTGCTAAATTAGAGTTGATACTCGAAATTTGACCTGTTAATTCTTTGTCATTTCGGAGCAAATTACAAAAGTACTGATGAAATGTCCCGTCACGTGTTTTTGACAAGAAAACTGATGTTTTCACAAACAAAAAATCTAAAAGTATCTTATATGAATCAAAAACTTCGGACGAATCATCGAACTGTATAAAATCCTTTGCGATCAGCAAAGGGAAGTTTATTGAGATTATAGTAGGCTTCCTTGCGTTTCTTCATGTGTCAACTGAAGACATTCTTTTAAAACAGACTTTATAACAAATGAACATATACATGTTCTGTTTGAGTTTATTTGCTCTTATTTTCTCTAAGAGAGGCTTCTAGAACTTCCTATGGTAGCTTACATTGACTCGATGATTCCAAAAAATAAGTTGAACTTTTTAAAATTTGTATTATCCACGACAGTGGTAGCGTGGCAATGACTGGTGTCCTTGATCGCTTTAGTAGTACTATCTATCCAATGCACAAAATCATTCGAATGAGAAATAAAATTTTCCAAAAAAGTTGAAGTTAAATTGTAGAAATGGCTTGCAATCGTCTCATACATATATATATCATTGAATTGGAGAAATATTTAAATATGAATGAAATAGAAAGGTAATTTTTCTATCAGTTATTTATCTGAACTTTTTCTTATTTTATAATCAATTCTAAAATACATTTAGAAAGATTGATTTCTATTTTCTAGGATGATCTACCCAATTTGAAATATTTTTCATTAAAATGTTATTGCTCAGGAAAGCAGTATGATAGAAAAATTGTACCTCTTTTTTGTCGTATGTCAAATCTTGAAGAATTAACCTTGAATATTATGATTCAGGATCGAACTAAATTTATCGATGATACTCAGATTAACAATCAAATTCTTGTTCATATGCCACGACTTTATAAATTTACCTTTCACATCAGTACCGAAACTAAACTGCGTTATTTAGTTGGTGATTTATCGAGCGATGATATTCAAAAAACTTTTACTGACATAGGATATCAGCAAGTGGCTTGTGTTCTAAACCACTGCTATGATACAGCAACATGTCATGTTTTTTCCTTACCGTCTGTGTTTGATACTCTTCGGTCTATTGGCAACACGTTTCCACCCATTGTTTTCAAATATGTAACATATTTACTGGTCGCCGATGTAGTTCCATTCAAACATGAATTTTTTCTTCGAATAGCTCGGTTTTTTCCATTGCTTAAAGAATTGAATGTTATTAATTTTAAATCACAGTTACAAATATTAGACAATAGGAACTCTAACGATAATCAATTGTGCTCAATTGTTGAATATCCTTGTCTTATTTCGCTTCGTCTCGGTCTATCTCATATTGATTATTACGAGCAGTTTCTTAATGATACAAAAACACATCTACCTCGTCTAACTAAATTAAAAGTCAATTATAAGCGATTAACAATTATAATAGAAAACTTCACAAGAAACGCAACACGACTCAATTGTGCTAACGTGAAACAGATAATCATTGGACAAACATTAGTGCATTCAAAAGAGTTTTATCTTTATTTTCCTATGTTGTAACTTTGTTTTTGTTCTTATTAGTTTAATAAAATAAATAATAAAAAGATTTTAATAGTAATTAGTTTTTCACTCGAGTAAAACAAAACAATAATTATTAGTTAACATGGTAAAGTCAACTGTTACATGATCTGAACTAATTCTTATAAGGATATGTTCAAAGATCGACATTGATTCATAGTTGAATTATTTATCTGATATATTATCTGTTATCAGTTGATCTCGTAGTTGTAACCTATGAAATTAATTATTAAAAATTTGTACTAACTAAAGATTCTTGATATTTTCATTTTAATTATTTCGAAACGAGAAGAAAAATTTCAGAAAAACTTGTCTTGTCTTGTTGTAAAAATATTTATAAAAAAAAACATCATCTAATGATATGAAAAGAACATGTTATCAATTTTAGAGAATATTTTGTAACTTTTCGCTCTCGAAATCATCGCAATAGAAAACACGAATTTTCTATGCATACGCCGAGAACGAAAGAAAGTAAACTCGTTTCGTACCACATAAATGTTTATTACCTCTATGGAATGTTTTCTAGAAAAAGCCTATAGGTTCTGTGTCTTGTAAGTATGGCATTGATGAACAAAGATTCGTTTATTTATCACCAATGCCTGAACTAAAGTAATGGCAAAAAGTTTAAGAACAATGGATGTGGACATGGTCTGTGTCTGGGTCCGGATGTCCTATGTAAAAACATTTAACAGGAAGATCAACATGTACTTGATTTTCATCGCTTTGAAACGCAGACAATTGATGAAAATCCAGGAATTGTGATTTGTTCCGATTAAATAGAAGATTATAATCGATTATTTCACACATTTGATTCAGAATCATTGATTTTTCACTGATTATCATCGATTTATTTACCGAAATCGAATAAAACCGATTAATAGATAATATAATCGGTTAGATACGATTTTTCTAATCGCTTATAATCCTTCATCTAATAATCGTCTATAATCTGGTAATACTGATTACACTCTCCTAGTATGATTTAAGTTTTTGACTCAATTAAAGTATTTCAGTGACTATAATAGAACTAATCATAAAAAATGTAAAAACATCAATAGTATAAAATCATCAACCGGAAATTTCCTTATATTTGTTTTAAACGAAGTTAATCAAACAAAGTCACAGAATAGATTTTTTTTACAAATAGACTAAAGTTGGTTTTCAACAGTTGGCATTGATATTCAATCATTTTCATTGATTATCCATAATTCTTGATAATGATATCCATTACCCATGACAGGTGCGCGAGCGGGATGGTGGGGAGTGGTTATTCCTTCCAACTTTTGAAAAATTAAGGACAACTTTCTCTCAGTTCTGGAAAAATTGGAGAAAACCGCTCAAAATTGCCTCCGAATTTACAGAAATTTCTCTAATATATTCTTCTAAATGCAGAGGAAACCCAAGGCAAGCAGATACAAATCTCGATTTTTGACGCTCTTCGAACAAAAATAGTGAATTTTAGTCGATCTTTATGCGGTTTTATTGGCTTCTTCGAAAAACACACAAAAAGTCATGCTTTAGCAGATTTTTTGTTTTTTTCCATTTTTTTCTACTATTTTGGTGCGTTTTTCTGTCGAGGTTTCGTCAACTTTTTCAGAAAAGTAGTTGAAAGTTATTACCATGAAAAAAAGCCCATTTTACCTGTAAAAATTGAAATTTTGACTGTTTATGCACTAAAAGTTTTTTATCCAGTATTTTCTATCGCTAATTAGATTTAGGTTTTCTTTGAAAACTTACTTGGATGAACTATTAATATTAACAAGAGACATGGCATCCTTCCATTTGATCTTTCTAATTGATTTCAATTCAAAAAACTTCATTTCAATTTAGCTGATGCCATTTGTCATATATATTGTTTGCAATGCACATATTGATAAAGAGTGACTAGAAAAAAACGGTTCTCAATTCCTGCAGATGAAATTCATAGTGATTGTTATTCTGAGAAAAAGCTTTGCTATACATAAACACCAAACACCTGGTTTACGTGGGTGTATGTGTCGATCTGTCTGTTTCTAGTCCCCTCATCTACACCAACACCTACACCCCTACTCGTCTAAGAATTGTTAGAAATGAAGTCATTCCATGTAGATTATTGTTTCTCTATCAAAATCTATAAAAAAAAAACTGGTGGAAATAATAATCTTTTTCTATTGATAATCATTGAATACTGCATCGATTAGGTTCATGCAGATATAGTTTACATGAATAATTCAGCGAGATTTTGACATTCCAAAAATAAATTGACATGTCATATTCTAAGCAACATTTATAATAATTAAGATCCTTTTATCGTTCCTGAATTTAACACAGCATGAACGTAAAGATTTGTTACATTTTTTGAGATTTATAATTCAAATAAATTATAGTCAATCTTCTCGCATCTAATACTTCACAAAGCTAAAGCTAAAATATCCAAATCTTTGATTTATTACGATAAAATATAAATCATTCATATCAACAAGATCAAAATGTTCTTCAATGTATTCAAAGACAAATAGACATCTTATGATTATGTCCACAGAACATCAAAGATTTTTTTCC